CTTATCGATAAGATGATAAAGCTAAGGTACCCTCAACAGGCACTGCCTACCTATTGCGCCCACACCTGGCAAAGAAGGCATTCCAAGTAGATACCTTTGTACCGCTCTCTGGCTGCCTGCCTCACCTGTACCTACCCGTACGCGACTACCTCAACATCACACACGGCAGAATTATTTCTCCAACTCCAAAATTCAAATGACCTTGGTCAATTGACATCACGGAGAATACAAAGGCCATGGCATCTACAAACGATCTCACGATCTCGATCGACCGGAATTATCTGGACACCCTCATCAGAAGGTAAGACCTCTTACTTACACCTCGGTCGCACTAGCAACCGAGCCACTCCCAAACCGGCCTATGAATAATATCTCACGACGAAGGCTAACTACTCGAACAGGGCTCAATTGGTACGGCTTACACGATTGCCCATTCTTCATCTGTTCCTTCGTCTTCGTGAGGATTGCTGACGAAGCCTGCTTGAAGAACACCGACAATGATCCTAACTCAAGTTGTCTCACCGTCACCATTACCCGCGCCGAGCATGACATCCTTGTCAAAAAGGCCCAAGAATTCGGTATGCACACAAACTATACTATGCGCAGCTTCTTCCGGGCATCAAATTCCCGGTAATGATCTAGTTATTGACTTCTCGATAGCAAACTTGCGTCGTAACCTCATGCGAGGAGGTGTAACTGAAGCTACCCTGGCTGTAAGTCGAGGTCTCCACTTTTGACCCCAGTAAACGACACAAGCTAAGCGATGAGCTTCTAGGTATTGACCTGTGACGAGTCCAACTATCAAGAGGATAATGTTGAACGGCACGCCACTTCATCTTCCGAGGCTCCGCAGAATGGGATTCAACGTCCAGTCGGCCAGTCACGCGTGACGACTGCCACGGCTACACGAGGAAACCAAAACTCAAGCCGACTTCCTATTCAGCAACCTGTCAAGCGTGAGTGGGCCGAGGAGCAACCTGTCAGCCTCGATGAATCTGAGGCGACGATCTCTCCCGTTGAGCCTGAGCTCAAGCCTGAACATGGTTTCGAGGATCAGAATGATTCCCAGTTGCCCGTACAGCCTCGGTTCGAGCGTTTGGCCACCAGGACTATCTTGATCTCAAACCTCGCCGAAGGCACAACTCACGCTGATATCATCGGCGTTGTGCGTGGTGGTCAGCTGCTGGACATATTCATGAGACCGTACGACCGGACTGCCCATGTGTCTTTCTTGCATGGTACCGACGCAGCGGCCTTCCTTGAGCATACCCGGCGCCATGATCTATACATCAGACAGAAAAGAGTAGGCTACGCCGTTCAGTTTCCAGCGTCACGTAGGGCTAATCGCAATGATAGGTTGATGTTCGATGGAGTGATCGGCACTTCACATTGCCTGGCCATGTTGCGAGTAAGCTCGGTATTGGTGCCAGTCGCAATCTCATCCTTCGACGATGCGACCCGAAGCTCACCGAAGAGGAGATTCGGGATGATATGGAGCACATCCACAACTTGGTTGTCATTGCTGTCAGTTTCCGAGGCGGAAGCTGTTACATCAACACGAACTCTGTGCACAATGCCATGTTTGCGCGGACCTGCATGATGAGTCGATTGTGAGTCGTACATCTCGCCAGACATCAGTGCTTTGAAACTTACATGTCAGCAGCAAATACAAGGGATCTAAAATCGAGTGGGACGTCGATGAATGTGCGCAGCCCTTGCCTGCCGAACCTCAGCGAGCCCAGACTCAAGTGCCCCCGATCAGATTCCCAATGAATCCCATGACCAACCGTTTCGAGCTTTTGAAATTGGACAAGACTGAAGAGGACGAGGAAAACACTCGGCCAGAGCTTCACACAAGCTCCCAGCTAAAGATTGTGGTTTGATGAGGAATAACGAAGCCCAGATCCCGTACGATTCCCAGCAAACTTGGAATTGGGGGGGGCGATCTTTGAGGGCTCCCTGGTATATGTTGGTCCTTTGAGCCTAAGGGCCACTGTTCTGAGTCTTTTGGGGGAAGGAGTATGCAATATTTCTTGGCGGGATGGTAGCACGGAGTTCTAGAGATACCCTGCGCTTCGAGTTTGTTTGTTACTTTATTAGATGCCACTCACTCTGCGGATCTTCGAGTCCATCTGCGAAGACGAAATAGACCTATGACTAATTCCGATTTTCCAGCATCAACAAAAGCACCAACTACAAACGTATTTCTCAGGGACTTTTGTACCTTGAACTACTCGTCAAATAAGAGCAGAGTGTCTAAGCAGAAGTCTGTTTCCTGACTCTGGGTGATGTCTCATTTTCTGTCCCAGGGAAGACACTGTCTTGGACCCTTATAAGCACAGTATTGAGGACCCCGTGGTTCGTTATAGTGCACCTGACTTCTTGTCGTTTGCTTGTTTATTCCAGTTTCCCATATATTCCAGTCTCCTACGAAAGGCTAAAGGGTATATAGTCACAGATTCAGAGGAAGGAGCGTCTCCCTAGTATAGTGCAAACTTGCTGGGGCCACGTAGCCTGGTGGTTAAACGGGTGATGAAGAAACTGGGGCGCTGGTTTTACGTAGGGATAGGGTTGGAACCAACGCCCGAGCTTTTTTGTTGATTTGTTGTCCATCTTCGTCGTATTGTGGTGATGGGTTAATCGACGGGGAGGTAGGTGATGTCCTGTATTAATCAGATGTCACCATACCGGTGTCGCTCTTGTGCTAGGTATATGAAACGGCTATTACACGAATTGGTAGGAGACCAGGAATAAATTTATTCCATCGATAGAACTAACCCTGAAAAACAACTCCAGCCCAAACGTGTCTTCCATTGTCCGTATTCAACATCAGGCAGGTCACATACTGAGGCAAAACATATCATCACCGAACCCGAACAAACCACGTCCTCCTCAAACAACATTCCAAGCTTGGTCAATCGGCAGACTCACCCCGTTAATCGTTCTCGCCTGGTCCGTCGCCAAGAACACCACCGACTGCGCGACCTCAAGTGGCGTGATATTCGGCGTCGAGTCGGACGCCTGGGCGTGGAGGGCATGAACGGGCTCAACCTGCGCGTACGCCTCTGCATCGAACTCCTCGTCTCCTCCATGGCCGGCGGCAATGGCCTTGCCGATGCGCGAGTCGATGGCGCCAGGGAGCACCGCGTTGCACCTGATGCCTTCCTTGCGGAAGCGCCATGCCACATTCTTGGTGGCGCCGATCTACCGTCTCAGGGTGTCAGCGATGTTCGATCTACCCTCGAGGCCTTCTACCGAGAAGTCTACCCAGCGAAGTAAAAAAAGTTGGCAAAGGAATAGGAGAAAGAGAACGAACCAGACCGTGCTTGCTGCACGTATACGCTATCCCAGCCACGGCTCCCGAGATGCCGGCCGTGCTGGCGACGTTGACGATGACGCCCGACTTCTTCTCGAGCATAAAGGGGATCACCGCCCTCATCATCTTGACCGGGACCGTAAGATTCACGGCCACTACCCGATCCCACTCCGAGTCCGTCACGCCGTCGGCGCTGCTAAACGATCCCATCACGCCCGCAACGTTGACGAGCAAGTCGATACGTCCGCTGGAGTATCACCCGTCAGTCCATCATCATATCTCAGATCGATACCCTTCCTCTCCTCTTTTGACCGCCCCCCCCCCTCCCCGGAACAGCATCCTCGAACAACACAAAACTCACCCAAAAGAAGCAACAGCAGCATACACCCCATCCTCGCACGCCCTCGGCCCAGTGAGATCGGCGCGGTGGAAATGAAACCGGCCGTGGTCCGCCTCCTGAAGCAGCGCGTAGTTGAACTCGCGCGTGTCGAGCCCGCAGACGGAGTACTGGTGCGCCAGGAGCAGCTGCGCGCACGCGAGGCCCACGCCCGAGCCGCACCCTGTGACGATGGCGACCTTGCCGAAGCCCACCGGGTCGATGGTCGTGGGCGGGATGAAGAGGGCGTCTGGGGAGGTGGTGAAGAACATTGCTAGCCGGGCACTTCTTGTCTAACGGGCTTCCTTTCTTTGTAGTCTGGGTCTGTGGAAGGTCAATTACGAGGGTAGTTTGATAACCGGATCCGGTGCTTGTTGTAAGTATGAATCAAAGGTTCTGGTTGAAAATGGTGTTTGTCCGTTTCTACAAGTTACTCTCCTCCACGGTCTATGGTGTGCTGTTCTCCGACTTCTTATGCCAGCTCGCCTCCAGAGTCAAGTGGTGTCATCGGCGTGCCCAGAAGACGGCCACACCTGAACGAAACCTACATGATTCGATGGGAAATCATGGCACACGCGGAGTCCTGGTATAATTCAAGCTCGGTGTATCTCACCCCAGACATCTCAAAGCAGGCTTCTGCTGTGCTGTTCCCATTGCTCATGTGGCTTATACCGAGAGAGGTGAAGGGGCGGATAAGCGAAAGAGAGGACCAGAGAACCGTCCCACGCAGCATCAGGCCACTTTCGATTGGGGTAACGAAAGCATACCTACTTGACAAACTAAGTCAAAGTACTACCGTAGGGACTCATGGAAGAGCCCAAGCAGACCGGTGCGGGCCGCTCTCGAATATCACGCCACGGCGAACGGCCGGAAACGGGAAAACAGCCACGTGGGATTGCGCGGGGGCGGGGTTTGCAAGGTGAGCCCATGTATCAACGCTGGCTGGTGGTATCCAGTGCTTCTCCTTCACCTCGAGCATTACGGCGTGAATCAAAGACAAAGTGGCTTATTTAATATCTGAAGCATTGGACCCAATGACTGCTGCGAAACTGGTAAATGAGGTGTGTCCCAGGGTATAGTTTTCCTGCCTCGATATCCCATCCTGCACCTTGGCCCTTCTCCCCCAAGCAATGCTTTGCCACCTTTAAAAAAACGTTTGGAATCCCATCAACCCGTCGCAATGCAACACCGAAAGCAAAAGAACTACGAAACACAAATCAAGCGTGTACCCCAGGAAAATCGCGCGGTGAACTCCTGCATTCCTCTTCACTCGGTCACCTTCATACCGTTCGATCGAGGCATTGAAGCCTACTTGGCGTTATTGGCAACTGATGCCAAATAGCCAAGCAGGAAACTTCGGTCGGCAGGAGAAATCGGTGTCTGACTGCCGCGACGAGACTCTGACAGGCCCTCCTGTACGCCCTGACCGCTTGCAGAGGCCAAAGAAGCCACACGTGATCGCATGCTCCCGTCCGGAGCCATCATCTCCCTGGCCTTTCCCTTATCCTCGGGAGCAAAGCCAGGCCCGGGGCTCGGCGACTGAGGCTTGCCAAAAAGTGATAGAAGCTTCTGCCTCTGTTCGGGGGGCATTTGTGATTTCTGCTGCAGCCCAGCAGGTGCGGGGAGAGCGGACGCTGACGGCGGGCTGGCCAAACTGGCCGGCTTGTCGACCCCGAAAACCGAGGCTAGAGCAGGCGCACGAGGGCCAACAGGCTTGCTCATGTTCTCGGCTCGCTGGAGGATCTGATGCGGGTTCATTTGGGGCGAGTGATTATTGTATATGGCGGAATTGTTATTCGCGCCTTGATTATAGAGACCTCTGTTCTCCATCGTTCTCGGGCTGTAACCTCCAATGGTCTGAGGGCTTCCGTGCTCTTGTCTACCGAGCTGAGATTGGAGCGATAGACCTTGAAAGGGTACTTGAGTGGTTGGATCCGAAGCGCTCTGAGGTGGTCTGCTCAGAGGACTGCTTGAAGCTGGCTGAACTCCACGGAACACAGGGCTGGGAACCTCCTGATTGCTAGCCTTTACAGTAGATATTCCCTTCAAAAGAGCAGCGCTAGCTGTAGTTCCGGGTAATTCGACGGGTTGGTTGGCAGGTGGGGAGCTGACTTCAGGGTTCTTGAACATGGAAAGGAGGGCAGACCGATGCGCAGGATCGATAGGCTGCTGGGCCCTCGTGGATGGACTTCCCTGGGGGTGTGCTACGCCTGCCCCCGACATGCTAGGCGACTGAGGATACTGAGGAGCTCTGTTTCCATGAAGTCCAATTGGCGATTGTCCCTGTCCCTGAGATGCGGATCCGTAGGGCTGCTGGTATGCTTGACGAGCCTTATCTGGGCTAGCAGTTCTTGTATCCGACTTGAGCACTCCCAAGAGTGCCATAGAGTGATTAGAGAGGTGACTGCTAGGCGGCTTGGGCTGATACATCATGCTCTGGCTTTGCTGCTGGAAGTGTGCTGGTTGATATTGAGCATTCGCCATGGGTTGGTTGACAGTCCCCTGTGCGTGTTGAGGGGGCGGCGGGGGTGTGCCGTCGGCGAACGCATTTCGGTTCAGCAGAATCTTTTGAGCTTGAGGCGGCAATGGTTGAGGATGCCTCAGGGGCGGCTGTGGCAGTTGGGCAGGGCCACCCATCATTGAAGGGCCGTATTGCCTGGCTTGAGGATGAGCTGAGCCAGCATTTCCAGACTGTTGGAAAGCCCAAGCCTGTGGTGTTCCATCTGGACCGATGGGGAATGCCGGAGGAGCTTGATAACTCGCCAGCGGTGCCCGTTGCTGAGGGTGATGCTGACCATGAGGGCTTTGAGGCTGTGGAGCCTGCCTAATAGTATGATCGAGGGGCGTCTGAGGGAGGTGCGAGACTGGGACCCCTTGGGCGACTGCTTGATTCTTGGCCTGCAGGATAGCGAGCAGCGATGCTCCTTTGTCTGCTCCAATATCCGGAGAAGCTGGCTTCGATGTTGCTTGCGCTGCCGTGGGATGGACCTTCAATAGACGCTGCAATTCCTGTGTTGCACCCTCCAGAGTATCGAGGCCCGGCGTCCGAGTCGAAACATCAGTCGCGGGTTCGGTTTGCCAAACTTCGTCTTCAGTGACAGGCTCTTCGTGAAGAGAGTACGGGTTGAAGTGCGCCTCGTTGGCAGCCTTGACAGCATCTTTCCTCTTTTGCTGCACGACCCATTTCTTCAAAGGGACCAGAAAGGGTGCAACCATGTAAAACTTGTTCGCATTGGCGGCGGCGGCGGCTTCGTTTTGAGGTTGGTTTCCTTTCTTTCGAAAAGCGGGTAACTCGGATAGTTTGTACCACTGAATCTTGCTGATCTCTTTCCTCGTCCGTGGCTCGAAGTGGGTGTCCATCGGTACGTCGCGGAAGACGTAGAGCCTCAACTGCTGCTCTCTCATGGTGACCTCGATGTACTTGACGTCTTCTCTGTTCTTGGGAACCAGGCCAGCAGCATGCAAATCGTATCCTGTCTCCTCGTATACCTCACGAACGGCGCATTCAAGGTCATCTTCGTCTTTGTTGATCTTCCCGCGAGGAAAACTCCAGTTGGCGCCCTTCTTCCAGCCTTTGACCAAGATTGTCGAGTCCATAGCCTCGTTGAGCATGATGGCTCCCCTCACAGGGACTCGAGTCTTGTACTGCAAGAACTCCTCAAAAGCCTTTGTATGATTCTCGACCGAAAACGGAGCTAGTAGGGGACAATGTTGGAAAATTCGAAGACTGAAACTTCGAAGTGTCATTGAAGGAAGCGTGGGGTCAAGTGGCCGGACGAAGTCTTCGTAGAACCATTGTGCCTCCTCTATTTGGAAACAGATGCGAGCAACGGACGACAGGTCTTCTTCAGGTAGGTTGATGATAAATCGAACACATAGATCGTCCAACCCTATGTACTGTTAGTCCTGCCGCAGCAACTGTCATGAGTTGATGGCGCAAGGCTGAGTAGCTATCGCCGTGTATCTTCCAAGGTGTGGGGCAACCAACAATCCTCTAACTGCATCTTTTCTTCGGCCATGTTGCGCGATGGCTAATAACATGTCCCAAGGACGATGTTTCTATTTTAGTCGGGTGTACCTGGCGAGGGAGTAAAGGTGGCGAAATGCTCCTGGCAATGAGTCTGTGTTGAGGTCGAGTTGAGGAACCGTTGCATGGTACGGAAGGAGAGGCTTGATATTTGGTCGGGCTCAAAGCTTTCCGCTTGCGACCGGATTGCGCGTGCTGCAACGAGAATCGGCAGCGACGGGCAATTCAGCAGATCAAGGAGGATGGAGTTGCGGGACAGGTGTGGCTTCCCAGGGATGCAGTATGTTTGTTGTTTGGAGCGGATGCGCTGACAAGCGGCCTCTCAGATGTGGTGGTGATGATTTGGAGTTTGGATGAGGTAGGGTGCGGAGTAGTGACGGGCACTGCACGTCTTTGTTGACGATGGCAGATACTGCAACGTCAGGCAGCTAAGGTAAGGTAGGTAAGGTACAGCGTAAGGTAGGTAGGTAGCTGGCATCCCCGTGGGCCCGTTCCTCGAGATGCCTGACTGGATGCCGTGGTCGCAAGCTGCTAAGCGAGCTCGTGATTGGGTGCAACCTTCCCATCTCCGTAGGTGTCAAACCGCGCACTGTCTCATAACACGTCGAGTCCAATAATGATTACAGTGCGCATAGATTGCGCGACCAAACTGTCATGACACAGCCCATCTCTCCAGCTTGTCAACCACATCAGATCAACACCTCGCTTCCATCCGGTCTCGACCGCTCCCTGTCAGCTATATGTTGCCTCAACTGTTGAAGGAATTAAGCATGGAGGCCAACAGGCAAGCCCCCTCAATAGCTTTTCATCCTATGACAATTTCCCTTCGGTGGAATGCACCCGAGAGGTGGGAGCTTCCTTGATTCAAGGGGCGAACATTGAAGATTCTGGAGAAGAACACAGCCACAATATGGCTGTGCACGTACATCACTTGCCACACTTGCGTGGCTGGACGTGCCGGCCTCTCTTCTCTCTCTCACTGCTGAGTCTGCTGGCAGGCCCCGTGAGTGCTTTTGTGTGCTGCATTGCATGCAATTCAGGGCCATTGAAGACCAGTCGCGGCGCACGCTCATTGGAGACCAGCCAACTGGCCGCTGCAGCATGATGTGAAACGACTGCGGTCTAGCCTGCTCAGACCCCACTGAAGAGGCCTCTCGGAACTGAGGCACTTGCATTGGCGTGCAGTGACCGACAAAATTACATCATGATGGTAGTCTGGTCCCCTGGCTTGTCAAAACAGGAATTCTGGGCGCCCGCGGGGGAAAACAAGCGTCCAAGGGACCAACCTCTTGTAACTTAGCTACAAACCGACCTACGTAGTGTGCAATGAGCACAAGAGGCAACTTGATCTACGCAGTACCATACCACCTATACAACCCATACCTTACCACACCTTGGCAGCTCGGACCCTGCCAGCCAGCTTCCCGGCTTTTCTCTCAACACCTACTTATATCACCAAGACCGGTCCTCTCGCTCGGTTGTCGCAGCCGTCTTGGAACCTCTTGACCTTTGACAACCTTACCTTCAGGAATACCTACCAGCTTGCCAAGGTTTTCTTACTTCAATCTAAGCCAAGAGCACAGAGGGCCGCCTTGCGAAAGCTTTTGTCAACAACGGTCCTGACGAGCTTGTCTCTGTCTTAGTGCGCCACTCATCACTATCAGTGACTGGGAAACACCGTTCTTCGCAAACCGGCACTCACACACAACCTAGAGGTTCGGCACTTCGTCAACGATACAACTGCAAACATGGCCAGTCTCATCGCCAAGTGGGTCAGCAAGAAGATTCTTGCTGAGAAGGTCGAAAACAAATTTGGCCGCGAGGTACGTTACCTTCTTACACCTGGGCCCTGTGCTCACCTGCGATACGGTGGATCCACGAACAAAATATACTGACCTCATCACCAGGACCCTTACTTTGAGAGCGTCCCCGCCACCAGGCTTGATGGTACCCCCAACGGCAAGGTTAAGAAGCGCAGAAAGGCCTTGCCGCCTGGCCTTTCCAAGCAAGATGGCGAGGTTTTGACCAAAGTCAAGAGAAGAGCCTACCGTCTCGATCAGTCGCTTTTCAGCTGCTGTGGTGTGAAATTTGGATGGGGTTGCGTCATCGGTTTAGTTCCTGCGTAAGTGCCTGTCCTCCTCCCCTGCTGCTGCATCGCCCCCACAGTCCCCATTCGGCTTATCGACAAGACAACGACTAACATCATGTTGGCTTTAGTGTTGGTGATGTTCTCGATGCTTTCATGGCCATGATGGTGTTCAGAACCTGCTCTAAGGTCGAAGGTGGACTCCCAAATTCAGTCAAATCCCAGATGATGTTCAACATCATTATCGATTTCGTCATTGGCCTGGTGCCTTTCGTGGGCGACATCGCTGATGCTGCTTTCCGCGCCAACACCAAGAACGCCATCCTTCTCGAGGAGCATCTTCGCGAGAAGGGAAAGAAGAACCTGAAGCGCAGCGGAGCTCCCATTCCAGCCGTCGACCCGAGTGAGGCAGATGAATGGGATCGCTTGCAAGGCGACCGCACTCCGCCCGAATACGTCAGCCGTGAGCCTTCTCGCAATGGACACATGTCAGCAGGCCGCCACGAACGCACACCAACTGCTCCAGCCGCCGCTGCAATCAGAGAGGAGCGTCCCGGCGGTCGAGGCTGGTTCGGGTTTGGAGGTCGCTCGAGAGTTGATGACGATGTTGAGGCGGCTCGCGATCCCAGAGACAGACCTGCTCGTCAATCGCGTCATTAGACTACCGGCTGCTCGAAAAATACTTTTCAAGAAAAAGAAGAGTCGAATGTCGGAGTTGGCGATGACGACACATGGGGTAACTCGTCGGAATTCGCGGTGGCTGGAAAGCACACTTGGTGTTTGCGAGTAGCCTACGGATGGTCAAAAGATGACGGACACTTGGTCTGCCTGGCTCTGCATGCTTGTTTTATGAAGACTTGGACGAAGAAGATGAACATGACACGAAACCTTTTCTTTTACATACCCACACTGCTTTAGTTAAGCTGTCAGTAGTTTAATACGATTCACTAGAAACATTAAGGCCTTGCAAAGAGTTGACGTGTACGTGACACATCAACTGTTTGGATCTGGATGGGAATCCGAAAATCGGTGTCCGTGCCAACGGTCAAATTGACGATCAGACTGGTGATGGTAATTCCGCAAGTCCGTTTCCAACGCGTCGACCCGCAGCCGAGAGTCATACAGTCAGGATTTGTCGATGCTTAGACGAGATTACATGGCTGATGAGTCTTGGATGGGCCACTTGGGTTCCACTGAAGCTGGAGCTAGGACATGTTCAGTTTATCAGATCTGATCTGATACCTGACATCGAAGTACCTAGGGGAAGGATGGGCTTGGAACGCGTCGAGTCGTAACGCCGAGGACGAATCCAGCTCAAAGAAGCGTGTGCAGGGCCGGGAGATGGGGCTTGTAGGCGGAAATGGGATATCTGGAACGTGTGTGGCTCGGCCGAAGCTCTCGAGTCTCCGGACAGAGCTTGCTCTGGTTTCCCGGCCATGACATCGTGTTGCCTGGTTGGCGTGCCGGGGGGTGGAACGCAAGCGGCCACTTCGGCGTCGTAGCTCGACCCAACTTACAAATGATGAGCACGTTGAAGAGGGAAAAAAGGGCCAAAAAAAGAGGGCTGGGCCTGGCATATTCCCTTTGGGACCACAGTCGGTAGACTTTTCTGCGCCAGGTCTTGGGCACTTTACAGGGTCTGGAAGTGGAAAGGTGAGAAGCGAGACAAGATCCTTCCACTTTGGAACGAAACGCGCCGGCGATGCCCCTGGAAGACGCGCTTTTCAGTGGGGTGGAGGGGAATTGACGGCGCGTGGATTCAGCTTTAAGTGCTCTGGGCAATCAGACCAGCTTCCATAGCCACCTACGAAAAAGGTACGAAGCTCGAGGTACCCAAGTACTTAGGTACTCCGTAGAAAACACGAAAACGCGAGTATCCCTGCCCTGTGCTCAACGCGTCCCACTACCTAGCGCTCGGTGCTGCTTGCCCGCTACATAAACTCTGCCTTTCCAGAGTTCCTCGACCATCAACAGACATCTTCTTCACTCCCAATCACGACAATACCACAGCCAAAGACAGACTCACGACCTCAATTTATTTCTTCCAAAGTCTTGTCTTCCCCTCCTTCCATTCAATTGCCTTCATTCCTCCTCTCCCACCACATTTTACACACTTCCGCCATGTCTATCGAAGTCACTCCGTCCAAGCAGGTAAGTAAACGTCACCACTCGGTTAAGCCGAGCTTGACTATGGTCCACGCGCTTTTCATGGTCGCAATCGCTAACAACCACTTCTCCAGGCCGCTGCTGCCCTCGACTCTTTCAAGATGGAGTCTCCCGTCAAGAAGCTCAACTTCAACCCCGCCGACAAGGAGAATCAGCCCCTCACATCCGACGTTGCCACCGCAACCGAGAAGACCGATGTTCAGACAAAGCCCACACAAGAAGTCAAGAATGAGAACAAGATTGTTATCGCTCCCGGCATCAAGGAGCAGGAGAAGGATGAGCCCCTCCTCCAGGAGAACGGCCAGCGCTTCGTCCTATTCCCCATCAAGTACCATGAGGTATGTGAACGCGTCGCAAGACGCGTAAAGTGGTTTGCTCGTTGACCGATGACTAACTCTTCACTTCCAGATTTGGCAAATGTACAAGAAGGCCGAGGCTTCCTTCTGGACCGCCGAGGAGATTGATCTCTCCAAGGATCTCCACGACTGGAACAACAAGATCAACGATGATGAGAAGTACTTTATCTCTCACATTCTTGCCTTCTTCGCCGCATCGGACGGTATCGTCAACGAGAACCTCGTCGAGCGCTTCTCCGGCGAGGTCCAGGTCCCTGAGGCTCGCTGCTTCTACGGCTTCCAGATCATGATGGAGAACATTCACTCCGAGACCTACTCCCTCCTCATCGACACCTACATCAAGGAGCCCGCGCAGCGCACCTACCTCTTCAACGCCATTGACACCAGTACGTGGACACAACCCGCGCCTACATGAGCGCATCGCTAACTAGCATCACAGTCCCTGCCATTCGCAAGAAGGCTGACTGGGCCCTGAAATGGATCAGCGACGAGAACTCCTCCTTCGCCCAGCGTCTGGTT